TCCCAGGAGCAGGAGCCGGCTCCCTGGGGGGACAGCAGGACTGTGGGCTGCAGCTCCCGGCTGGCCAACCACAGAGCTGTTCTTGGATGCTCTAGGCTCATCTTATGTGAGTCAGGCTCACGTTGACTTTGAAGTCACCCTTGGTCACCAGGAGCTCTGACCAACCAGGCCGAAAGCTTCCCCTGGGCCATCGCCAGCCCCGGTGCTGCCTGCTCCTGCCCCTCTTTGCTGAGCCTGGGCTCCCCAACATTCCCCCAGGTCATGAACACACATGAGCAGCACCTCAGATGTCGAAGGAGCAGGTCAGGTTAGCCTATTGGACAGAGCGGATCTGGGCAGCCACAGCTCCCTGTGGAGCACAGGGGCAAGGAGGCTCCAGGAGGCCACTGGGATCAGGGAAGGCTTCCAGGTGATATGACATCCAAGCTGGACAGGAGGCGTGAGTGATGGCACGCGAGGGTGCTGGGCCTGAACCCTGAAGGCCCGGACATGATCTAGCTGGGCTGGATGCTGGGTAAGGCCCCCCACTTCCAGGCGATACACAGACAGAAGCAGCAAACTGAGAACCCAGGAGACCAGGGCAGAGGCAGGGGCAGTGTCCAAAGGGCAAGATGGGGACCTGGCTGGAGAAGTGGCTGGGCTGATGGACAGCAGAGGGCAGGGGAGAGGAAGGGCAGCACCCACACTGCCAACCTGGTGTTCTCTGCAGAGGGATCTTTCCTTAGAGGAAAGGAGGCCGGGTTCAACCTGCAACAAATTGAGTTTGAAGAGCTGCAGGACGATGAGGGTCAGCCCAGGTGTCACATGGACATACCAGTCCTCTGGAGCAACTGTCAGCAGACCGAGGCCCACAGGCCAGATCCAGCCCCTGGCCTGCTTTTGTATCGCCCCAAAGCTAGGAACTTTCTTTCAATTCTTAAGTGATTAAAAAATTAAAATCCATACCCATTAGCTACCATCAAAAAACTATTATCACCTCAGCCAGCCTGGGCAGCATAGTCAGACTTCATCTCTACAAAAAATAAAAATTTGGCCGGGCATGGTGGCAGGTATCTGCAGTCTCAGCTACTCGGGAAGTTGAAACTAGAGAATGGCTGGAACTCAGGAGGCAGAGGTTGCAGTGAGCCAAGATTGCGCCACTGCACTCCAGCCTAGGAGACAGAGCGAAACTCCGTCTCGAAAACAAACAAAAACAAAACAAACCCAGAAAGCACCAAGTGTTGACGGGGATGTGGAGATGTTAGAACCTCATGTGCAGCAGGAATGCACCATGGGCAGCCACTGTGGAAAACGTCATGGCGGTTCCTCAAAAGGTTAAACAGAGGTTTGCTGTATGACCTGGCAACTCCACTTCTCGGTCTATCCCCAAAAGAATCGAAAGCAGGGTCTCAGAGAGATATTTGCACCCCCGTGTCCATAGTACCATCATTGATAATAGCCCAAGGGTAGAAGCCACCCAAGTATCCACTGACAGAGGAACGGATCAACATCGTGGTCTACCCACACAGTGGAAGAGTATTCACCCATAAAAAGGAAGGAAATCCTTATGCAGGCTACAATATGGATGCAACTCGAGGGGATCACCATCAGTATAAGCAGCCAGTCCACAAAAAGACAGATGCTGCAGCATTCCACTTACACGAGGTCTCCCGAGCAGTCAAATCTATACAGACAGAGAGTGGATGGTGGGTGCCAGGGGCTGGGGGAAGGGTCATGGGGAGCTGGTGTTTAATGGGGACAGACTTTCGGTTTGGGAAAATGAGAAACTTTTGGAGATGGATGGTGGTGATGACTGCATAGCCAGATGAACACACTTAATTCCACGGAACCGTGCACTTACAAATGGTTAAGAAGGTCCATTTTATGTCATGTGTATTGAACCACAGTCTGAAAATTCAGAGTATTTTGTAACAGTGAGTGTGACCTGGACTTCATGTTTCAGTGACCAGGAAGCATGTTTTGTTATTTCCTCCCTGCCCATGCCTGCATTTGCTCCCTAAGGCAGAGGACTGGTGGCAGAGACATGTGACCGGCAAGGCCAAAAATACTTACCATGTGGTCCTTTGCAGAAAAAGTTTGCCTACCCCTGTTCAAGAGCTCAGGGATGAAGAGTTGGAGGTAGGTAGAGCCTGGGAGAGGTGCCAGGGTGCCCAGGCAAAGGCCTCATGAGGCCGCATGCTTATGTTCGAAGGTCTACTAACTGCTTTATTAAGATACAGTTCACATTCCATAAAGTGTACATTTCAATGGTTTTTTTTTTTTTTTGTGCGTGCTGTACAGAGCTGTGAAGCCAACAGGACAGGCCATGTTAGAACATTCTCATGCTCTGGGAAAGAAACTATGTACCCTTTCACGGCCACTCCCATCCCTCTGTTCTCACCCCCCAGTCCCTGGTAACCATAAATCTCCTGTCTCTGTGAATCTATCCACTCCGCACATTTCATAGACTGAGAGTCACGTGCTATGTGGTCCTCGGTGTCTGACTTCATTCACGCGACCTCATGTTCTCAAGGTTCACCTACATCATGGCAAGAAACAGCTTCGTCTCTTTTTAGGGCTGAATAACCTTCCATTATTCTAGATCATGTTTTGTTTATCCACTCATCTGTTGATGGACATGTGGCTATTTTGAATTGTGCTTCTCAGGATGGACTGAGAGACCAAGAGTGCCAGAGAAGACAGCCCAGATAGCATGGAGACCCACCAGTCCAGGAGACAGCCTGCTTCCGAAGTAAGGGGGGTGCTGCAGTGTCAAAAGCTGCACAGCCGGTGGAACCCAGGAATGAAGCAGGGGCCGATGTAGGGAGAGACACAGGTCTCTAGGGAATTATTATTTCAAAGCTAGGCGTTGGGGGCAGACGGGGTTTCCACAGTGGTGGGAGGACCAGATTGGGAAGAGGATGAAGGTGGAGAGAGGTGTGGGCGGTGGCGGGGGACTGGCCTGGCCGTGGCACGGCAGGCGCAGGTGAGTGCAGGACTGTGCCTGGGGGCAGGGTAGCAAGAAGCCATGCCTGGGCGATGAGAGGCTTGAGTTTTTAGACAGGAAGTTTTGGGGTGATCTGTAGAGGCCTTACAGGTCCTGCTCCGGAGATCTTACCAGCTGTGGAGGCACTCGGGTGAAGACGGGACAGAGAGCAACCTAGCCGCCGTACCCCTCGTCCCTGTTGACCCCCAGGGTTTATGCAGCCATACCCAGAGCAGCAGAGGGCCCACCCGTCAAGCCACAGAATCCTGAGAAATAATAAATCGTTGTTCAGACCGTTAAAATCCTGGTGGCTCCTTACACAGCAACAGATGACTGAGGGGCTTCCAGCCTGGGAGGTCAAAGTCCGGGAGGGATTTCCAAGGCCCAGTTTGCAGGGTTCCAGGATCCTTCCTGGATTCTTATCTTGCAGCCTTGACAAGGGGAAGGAGGGAGGCAGCGGAAGGAGGGCAGGACAATCCATGACAGGCTGTGATTTGCCAAGTGACCGTCTGGGATGAATGGGGGGTCTCAGACCAGGGACAGGGAGTAGAGGAAAGCCCGCCTCTGCCCTGGTTGGAGAACCCGGATTCAGACCCAGGGCCCTGATTTCTGCCTGGATCGCTCCACTGGGCGGAGTGACAGTGGACACATCCGGGGTTCTCTCCAAGTCGGCTTCCTCATCTGCTAAATAGAGACTGCAGCCCACCAGCTCACCTCCCAAGTAGGCGCCACTCTTTCGGCCCCTCCCAAGGCAGGAGGGCCAGGCGTGCTCAGGGCACAGGTGTGCTAGGGGCCCAGGTGGGCCAGTCAGCAGCATCCTGCAGGGTAATCGGAGCAGGTGGGCACCCCGAGGCTGGCAGTAAACAGTTGCTATCTGCTCCCAGGCTCCCAAGAGGGGTCCTGGGCCTCACCTCCTCCAGTCGGAACAGGAAAGCAGCTCCAGGCAGCTGGGTCCACAAAAAGCTCCATTCCCTGAGGTCTCAAGCAGTGGCCCAGGAGCATCTGGTCACCTTCGGGAAAAACCGGCTTGGCAAAGGCTTCCCCGAGGGCACGCGTTTCCCGGACAGTGAGGTAGGACCTAAACTCTTCCGTTAACACTACATTTTTCGCATTTCTGCAGTGCTTGCACTCTCATACTCCACCATTTCCCCTCATCTCTTAGGGAGAAGCTCTCGACGTCCCACCTCCCCTGGAAGGGTGCTGCTCCCAGAGACCTTTCCGCCAATGGCCCAATCTCAGTGCCCTCAGGGGAGAGGTGGGTGAAGAAAAACAGCCTGGGTCACAGAAAGAGGAGCTAGGGCTGTGAGATCCCAGAGGCACCGACGGGAAGCGCCACGGAGAACAGGAGGGCAGAACGGGATGGAAGTGGGGGATACTGCAAATGTAGGGAGCCACTCTGGGGGGGGGCGTGGACCCGACCACCGTCCTGGCACAAGGCTGTCGGGTGCAAACCTTCAGGCCCTCCAGAGCCCTCAGGCCCGGGGCGCACGGAAACCACAGGCAGGGTGCGCGTGGAGGAACGGGGAATGTGGGGCGGGTTGGGGAAGGCGCCCCGGGAACCTGAACCTCCTACCCGGCCTCAGTCGCGACCGCTCCTTAAGCCCTGCCCCGCCCCAGGTAAGGCGCAGTCCACCCCCATTCCCAGTAGATTAACGCGCAGGTAGAGGCGCGCTCGGGACATAGGTGCGCCTCGGGACAGCTCGCCCAGCCCAGTCGCGGGGGCGAGGAGTAGGGCGGGGCCCAAATGCACCGAGCTTTGTTAGCGATGCTCCCCGCGAGCCACGCGCCGCGCGTACGCGCTTCCTCAATGGGGCCGGGCGTGGGGCCGCGCCCTGCGCGATTGGCCAAACGGGTGGCCCAGGATTGGCTGAGACCCTGGCCCCCGCCTCCTCGGCCCCAGGAGGGCGGGGCGCGGGTGTGGACTGCTCCGCGCGTGCTGCCCCGGGGGGTCTAGCGCGCCTCCCAGACAGCCGTGTTGTCGCCAGGGCCACGCCTTCCCTCCCACAGCGCGCGCTGCGCGTGCGGAGGTCTGGCAGCTCTTGGGACTTGCGGGGCTGCGCGCAGGATTAGGGTGGGGGTACGGGAAGGCTCAACTCAGGACCTGCGCACCTTGCTTTGGGGGCGCACTGAGCACCTGCCGGGAGCAGGGGGCGCACCGGGAACCCGCAGGTTTCGCCAGTTGGGCGCACTGGGGATCTGTGGACTGCGCCCGGGGGATGGGCTAGGGGGACACGCGCAGGCTGTGGGCTTTACAGAATGTGATCGCGCGAGGGGGAGGGCGAAGCGTGGCGGGAGGGCGAGGCAAGGAAGGAGGGCGTGAGAAAGGAGGTGGCGGCGGCGCGGAGGAGGGTTATCTATACATTTAAAAACGAGCCGCCTGCGCCGCGCCTGCGGAGACCGGGGAGAGTCCGGCCGCACGCGCGGGACACGAGCGTCCCACGCTCCCTGGCGCGTACGGCCCGCCACCACTAGGCCTCCTGTCCCCGGGCTCCAGACGATCTAGGACACGTGCCCTGGGGAGTCTCCTGGCGGCACCGTGCCAGAAGCCCCCTTGGGGCGCCACCGTTTTCCCTTTCGCCTCGGGCTCTTCTGCCTGCACCTTCCTGCGGCGCACCGGGACCCCGAGCGGGCGGGTGGATGCAGGCGCAATGGACGGCGGCGCACTGCCCAGGTCCGCGCCCCCTGCGCCCCGCGTCCCTGTCAGCTGCGCTGCCCGGCGGAGACCCACGTCCCCGGAACTGTTGCGCTGCAGCCGGCGGCGGCGACCGGCCACCGCAGAGACCGGGGGCAGCGCAGCGGCCGTAGCGCGGCGCAATGAGCGCGAGCGCAACCGCGTGAAGCTGGTGAACTTGGGCTTCCAGGCGCTGCGGCAGCACGTGCCGCACGGCGGCGCCAGCAAGAAGCTGAGCAAGGTGGAGACGCTGCGCTCGGCCGTGGAGTACATCCGCGCGCTGCAGCGCCTGCTGGCCGAGCACGACGCCGTGCGCAACGCGCTGGCGGGAGGGCTGCGGCCGCCGGCTGTGCGGCCGTCTGCGCCCCGCGGGCAGCCTGGGACCACCGCGGTCGCCGCCTCGCCCTCCCGCGCTTCTTCGTCCCCGGGCCGCGGGGGCAGCTCGGAGCCCGGCTCCCCGCGTTCCGCCTACTCGTCGGACGACAGCGGCTGCGAGGGCGCGCTGAGTCCCGCGGAGCGCGAGCTGCTCGACTTCTCCAGCTGGTTAGGGGGCTACTGAGCGCCCTCGACCTATGAGGTAACAGCCGGGCGGCAGTGAGGAGGGAGGGTCGGGGGCCGGGGTGGAGGGACGGGGTGGGGTGTGGGGGGCAGGCCCGGCGGGTCGCGCCCCCAGGAGCCGGCGGAGCCGAGCGCCAGGCCCGAGCTATGGCTTCGATTTCGCTCATTCTTCATTTCCCCCAAACTTTTTCAAGCCTGTGCAAGACCGGCGTTTGTTTGTCCGGGATTGCAAAACTTCCCCTCGCGGCTCAGCCGCCGACGAGGGAGGGGTAGACGAGGGGAGGGGAGCGGCCGTCGGGCCGTTGAGGTCTCGAGTGCTGGCGGATCCTGGGGCAGATTGGGGTGCTGGAGGCGGGGTGACTTTGCATTGCAAATCGCGCTCCCGGGCCGGGGCGGCAGAAATGAGTCGGCGGGCGCGCAGCCCTGACTCACCGCGGTTCCGAGCGCCCGCCCCGCCCCCGCCCTGTCTCAGACCGAGTCGCGGCACCCACGGACTCAAGACTCCAAAACCAACCGAGCAAACGAAACTGCCGACTTCGCTTGGGGGAGGTGGGGGCAGGGCCGGCCCGGGCGGTGTCTGCCCCGGGCCAGCGCCCGCGTTGACGCGCGTTCGGTTCCCCACCTTCCCCCTGCAGCCTCAGCCCCGGAAGCCTAGCGAACGGCCGGCGCGCTCATCGTCGGGGAGCCCGCCAGGTGGACCGGTCCGCGCTCCGCCCCCAGCGAGCCGGGGACCCCGCCCCCGCGCCACCACTGTCGACCCCGCCTCGACCGTCCGGCCCAGCCTGACCAATGCCCGGTGGAAACGGGCCTCGAGCTGGCCCTGTGAGGGCTGGCGGCTTCCTCCGATGCCGCCCTCCCCACACTTCTCGACTGCAGTGGGGCGGGGGGCACCAACACTTGCAGATTTTTGCGGAGGGGAGAGGATTTTCTAAGGGCACAGAGAATCTATTTTCTACACATTAACTTGAGCTGCTGGAGGGACACTGCTGGCAAACTGAGACCTATTTTTGTACAAAGAACCCTTGACTTGGGGCACAATAAAGATGACCTGGACCCCCGCCCCCACTATCTGGAGTTTTCCATGCAGGCCAAAATCTGGACACGAGTGGTCCCTGAGGGGCGGGGTCCCTGGCGTGAGGCTCCCATGACAGCTAGGGAGAAGCCTGTGTGGGGCACACCTCTTTAAGGGAGCGTGAACTTTATAAATAAATTAGTTCCGTTTACCAGTGGCTCCTGTCACCTACACTTCCCAGGTGATGGCCAGACTTCTGTGGTCACTACTCCCTGAACCCTGCTGCCTCCTCAGGGTGGGTCTGGGTGAGATCTGGAGTCCAGCCAGGCCGTTGATAGCGGAGCCATCGGGACACCTTGTGAGGCTGGGGGCGTCCTCCAGGAGGTGGTGGGCTGGTGGATTGTCCAGGCAGGGCTACTTGCTGGCTTGGAAGTGGCAGGCTGGAGGCTGCTGACCCATCCCGAGGGCTGGGTAAGTGCTGGGTGTGGGGCTAGGCTGAGGTGGTCTGACCAGAGAGCTCCTGCTGTGGGGCTCAGGGCATGGGCTCCCGCGCAGGCCACCATGCTCAGATCTCCACTGCTGGGGCAGCTGGGCAGCCCAGGGCAAGTGGCTTAACTTGAAAATGGGACTGACCAGACCCACCTCAGGGGCCTCTGGGAGGAGTTAGTGAGAGGTATCTGGAGGCTGTCCTCTCGCTGGCTTTGGGTTTTGCCCACACGGGGGAGGCCCCGCAGGCCTTTGCTCACCTGAATCCTGAGAGCGGCTCTTGAAAGGAACAAGGAAGGCTTGGAAGCTTTGCGCCAGGCTCCCCCCAGTCAGAGAGCTGGCACCAGGATATCACACGGCTCTGCCTTTGACTCAGGGCCTAGGAGGCTTTGAAGTCTCTCTGTGCCCAAAGCTCCCTTTTAGTGCCCTGGTGGGGGAGGGGTTGTGGGGCTCCCCTGGTTACCCTAGGGCGCAGAGGCACCCCTTCCTTCAGAAAGGAGTGGTTGGGACAGAGCCATGGGAGCCCTGCAAGGTGGGAGCAGCTGGTGGTGTCCCAGAGTGGGTGGCTCCCGAATAACCATGGCAACACAGGCTGCCGGGGTGCATGGGTCTCAAACGTCAGGCGGGCCAGGTCCCCTGTTACCAGAGGAGCTCAGGGCTCCTTTCACCAGCTGCAGCCTCAGTCCGGGTGGGGGCTCCTCAGCCAGCAGCCAAGGTCAAAGCTGAGTCTGTAGCTGGGGTCAGGGGTCACCTGGTCTGATGAGGACCAGGCTCAGCTGGGGTCAGTAGACCAGCTGTGGCTTGGGGCTGCAGGGCTCAGGGAACTGGCCTTGGCCAAGGGACAGGAGGGGGTACATTGCCATGGCCACCCATGGAGGGCCCTCCCACAGCATTCTCCCAGAATCCACCCCCGGGTCGGTGGCCTCCCTGAGTCACAGGACCTGAGCTGTCCCCAGGGCTCCACACCTTGACCTCAAGGAAAGGTCCACAGCTGCCAGAACCGCAGGGGGCTGTTGGGCAGGTGAAGCGGGTAGGTGGGAAACCATGGAAGGCCAAGGCAGAGGAAAGGACTGCCACCCACTGGCACGAAGTGGACAAAACTTTGCAACGGGTAAGTGGTGCTGCCATTTTTGTTTTCCCATTTTCCCATTTTCCATTTTATTATGGAAAATTTCAAACATACGCAAAAGCACTGAGGCCTTTGTTGAGCAGTCTCTGTGCCAGGACTTAGGATGCATCCGTGTGCCACACAAGCCTGTGCTCATGGAGCCTGGGTCCTAGTGGTGGACACAGGATCCAACCATTGTACAGTCTGGCTGGTGGAGGACGCACTGGGCCCCAGATGGGCCCGGGGAAGCCTCCAGCACCAGTTTCAAGGCCCTTACTGCCCCATCCATCCCCCACCCCATCCCTGCATTACTTAGGAGCAAATCCCAGACTTTGAATCCTTTCACCTGTAATGTTTCATGTGTGCCTCTAAAGGAAACCCCAAAAACATCACCCCTTCAAATGAACCACCGTTCTTTCATATCATCAGGGACCCAGCCAAGGGCACAGTCCTCACGGGGTCTTGTGGTTTTGTACAGTTGGCTTTATGGAATCGGGATGCACCGCAGGTCCACACATCAAGTTTGCTTAATAGGTCTCTTAAGCATCTTGTAAGCAATTTTCCCCCAGTGTCTGCATTGAAGAAGCGGAGATGTTTGTTCCGCTGAGCTCCCGTGTGCATGGTATTGATGGCACCGTTCTGGCTGTTGCTATTGGGAACCTGTCCCTGTATTTCCTGTAGGACAGGGTATGGGGTGCCAGAAGCGGACCTTTGATCAAGTTTGGGGTCACCTGCAAATGGGGTTGACACCAGGCCCACCTAAAGAGTGTGACAGAGATACCAAGACAGATCCGTTCCAGGGAAACAAGGGACTCCCTTTCTGAGTTTGCCTCGAGAACTACCCAGCAAGCTTGTGGAATCTTCCATAGACCTAACAGCAATCTAGGTCCAGGCTATCCCCTCGCCTTCGCTGGGGCAGAGCGCATCGTGGTCTAGTGGCTTCCCCCACCCCGGTTGCCAGCTCCTTCCTGTGCATTTCCTTTCACACACGCATTTCCCCGAATGCAGTTCTTTTCCAGTTCATCCCACTTGGCACATGCTGCTCAGAGGATGTAGTGCTGCTGGACTGCATCTCACCAGGGGACAGGACTTGTAGCAACCATGCAACTTGCTGTCCCAGCGGGGATATTTTTGAGAGTAGAAAGCCGTGGTTGATAACCAGGACCACAGGCGAGTCTCCTGGGCACACTGGGCTGCTGACTGCTGCATTATGAAGACCCCACCCCACACGGCCACTCACCCAGTGCCCACGAGAGATGAAGTGCCTGACGTCATAGACAAGCTTGTCCAACTCACCTTCTTCTGCTGTCGTTTTGTTTTAGGCTCTCAGCAGCCTAAAGCTATGGTTTTAGTTTCTGTCTCTAATGATAAGTAGAAAAGAGGGATGAGGAATGGACCTTGCTGGCTCAACCAGAAACAGAAACTAAGAATCCATGGTGGTTTTCTCTCCCTTGGACACCATACTGCTTGGAAATGACGAGAATTAAGATTGAAACTCTGGACTCTTTCACTTCCACATCCTTGCAATTTTCACACCTTCCAGGAAGTGAGGCTGAGCCTGGTGGCTCCTTTGGGAACAGGACATCCTTAGCAGTTCAGCATTTGAGATCAGTGAGCCTGGACAGAGCCTCACCTGGCCCAGGTGCCAGCCTGTCCTGGGCTCTGATGTGAGGGCAGCAGGGCTCTGCCAGGAGCTCATGGTCCAGGCCTAGTCCCCACCTGGAAGTTAGAAACTGATTCCAGGGAGAAGGCGATTGTGATGTGATGTTAAAGATGCTAAAATATAAAGCTTTTTTTCTTTCTTCTATGGTCAACCTCTTGACTTACTATTTTATACTTACTTCTTGTTTTATACTCACAATTTAATGCCATTCTGAGTAAGAAAGATTAGGAATTTAAATGGCTAGCATGAATTTAGTCATCCATCTTTATATTATGTGATGCCAGTTTTAAATGCAAGCATAAGAGCATTTAACTTCTATACGGAATCGCTGGAATGACAAAATGTGTGTTCTGTCCTGGCACAGGCGTCTGTATTTCATTGCCACTAGAACAGTGGAAATTGCACAAAAGTGAAATCAATTGTCTTGATTTCACTCCTTGATGCAGGCTGGTTCCACCAGCACCCTCCACCTCCTGCTCACTGATGATCGAGGAAGGAAGGAAGGGACAAGTTCAAAGACAAAAGGCATAGTAGGTAGATCCATCAGCAAGAGAGCTTGGCGAACACAGAGAAGTCGCATAAGTAAGAAAGGACATGACAGGTTCCCTGCACCTTGTCCTGCACGTTCGTTAGAACACCACTTACTTCCTTCTGCGTCCTTAGCAAGTTTGGATTTCAATGGAAAACGTGGCTGCTCGGTGGCCATCAGTGCTCCCGGCTTGCTTTTGCATAGGTGTGACATGCTGCCTT